TAAGTTCCCGCTCCTTGCGCTGCTGTAGCGTCTGTTTGCTAGTCTACACTCTCCAAACTTTAGACAAACCTGCTTTTCTAATTAGGAACAAGATCTGATGTGGGAGACAGTAAATCTTGTTTCAGTACCTTCCAAAATTAAAGACATGGTACGTGCTGTATCAAAATCTTTGAGAAAGTCCAAAAACAGATTAAAGAGGATAAAGTTGATCACAAAGCATTTGTTGAAACTAGCCCATCCAGTAACCCCAAATATTTGTTCTCTGTTTTATGCCGAGACTAAGAGTCGATTTCTTCTGGAGTGGTATAGATCTTAATTCTAATTGCAATGTGATCTATAAAAACTCAGTTGAGAGTATTTCTGTTTTTGGACTTTCTGTTTTCAATGCATATTGGAACCACCTAATTTTTTACGGGAGAATACTTTCAACGGCCGCAGCCGTTCAATATGAGATGCATGTCGGCTAAAGCGTTTTTGAACGTCGATTCCAAATCGCATTCCGCTTTTGCGGAACGCTCTTTTAAAAGGGTCAAGTAAGCTTAAGAAGCCGTAGTTCGAGGACGCAGCTATGTAGGTTAGTGCTGCAACGGTGTAGTGGTTAGCCTGCAGGCGTCAGAAAGGAGAGTTTAAAAGTTCGAGTCCAATGGAGATGCTCTTATCATTTATTTAATTATTTATTCCGTGCGTTGCTTAAAAGAAAGCAAAGATTCACAGTCACTCATGCTCCAACCACGATAGTTCATCAAGTAGTTTGGGCCCGACCTTTCCTACTGCATTATTGGAAGTGTGATGAAAGTCTGTATGTGGTTGCTCTATAAGAAGAGTCAACAGAATTGAATTAGTGTGATTCATAAAGATGGTAACCATGTCCTCTTTGTCGTCAGCAAAACGATTTTGATTCTAACAAGCAAACGATTTGGTGGTTGATATAATTGCTGATTGTTGCTTAATCTCGCCAAACCAAATGCCGTGGAGAGTGCATGACCTTGAATAAGTAGCAGTAAGGATTGTACCAGGGTTTCCCAGAAGTCTTGTAGCCTAGTATTTCTTCTGATAAAAAGAGAGCGGAACAACATAGAGATATAAAATTTAGTGCACATATTATCCAAACGGTAGGAATACATTACAGCATTCGAATTTTGTGGTATCAACTTTCTTTGATAACGGAAGCCCTCAAACTTTTGGCGATTGCCACTGCCGATGCACGCAGACAGTCATCATAAATTTTGTCTCATTTTTTCATGAAAATAGATCTTATCGTGTAGAAAATGTGCTGTATGATAGAGCAAGCTTTCAGATACAGCACACATGAGCTGAAAAATTTATAAGCTTATGGTTGAAATTACAGAATTTTGAATGCAGGCATGTGTAGATCATGGTGGAGTTTTGGACACATTTGGGGGAAAATGAAAACATAAAATCGGCTACGATGTGTTTCAAAACCAAGTTTGTCATCCGTGTTATATAGATTCCCATCTAGGATACAGGCGAAGAATATTACTCGAAATTCAGTGACTGCTGCAACTTTACAGATTTGAAATTAATTTCGAAGACATAGTTGCAGTGGCACGCATTCAAAATTTTCAGATTTTTCTCGCCTGTCTCGACGAAATAGATTTTTGAATGCAGTCATTATATTAGGTCGTTCCGAAAGTAATGTTGCTTTTTTCAAACGTCCGCCACACCTCGTGGAACAAAGATGAGTAAGAGGTTCTGGTAGCGTTTGATGCAGCATTTCATTTTCTTTCTAACGGTTATATAATAACTGTACAAAGTGCAGTAACCTCTCGAAAAATTCTGAAAATCTGCGACCTATGCTTTTTTTGAGAAGACCAAGTTTCACAATTTTTCTTAATTTTCATAGCAATTCTGGGAAGGAGTCCAAGTAATAGATGGATAAAGCAAACCCTACAAGAAACATTTTTTTCTGCTTTCCAGAGCTCGTCATAATTTTTGTATAGATTTTTTGATGGAATCACCGAATTTTGGCAGGCTCGTCTCAGACACAAATGCCTCAAACACAATAAATCTTTGGATTTTGAAACTTATAAAGATGGATTATGGTTTGACACTAATTTTACAAACCAAATGAGCCTTCACCGCTTCAGATTAGCAACTTTCGAAAATTCCGGGTACGGCCTGGGGCGCCTTGGAAAACCTAAATTATGATAATTTTATCCCGGAAAACTTGATGAATCGGAAACAAAAAATGCTGTTAGAAAGAGGAAAAAGGCTTGGTCGAATGACACCCAAGTTGTTGTTCTCTGAGGTTTGAGTTGACCAAATATGGAATTTGATATCATTGGAAAATTGATTCCAGAAACTCTAAGTAGCAAGCTAAGGGAAAGAAAAAATTACTTTGCGTCCTATAGGGTTTGCTCTATCTACCAATTGCTTAAACTTCTTCGGAGAATAGGTACAAAAATTTAGAAAAGTAGCCGAACTTGACCATAGCAAAAAGTATGAGCTGCAAATTTTGGTAATTTTCCGAGAGCTCATTATATATTATGCAGTGTATTTGTAAGCCTTAAAAAGAGGATAAAATGCTGCATCGAATGCTCCTACGATCTCTTGAAATTCTTGATTCCATGAAATGTGGCGTTCATTTGAAAAAAGCGACATTACTTTCGGAACGACCTAATAGTATTATATTTTAATAGTGCAAAACCTCCTCTAAACTATGGATGTGAAATTGCACAGGGGTGTGCCAAATTCGTGCAGTAGCGCAATATTTTCCAAACTTTTGTGAAATAGCCCCTTTTAAGTTAGAAATAATATGATAATTTTTTGGTTAAAAATAAAGCTCATTTTTAACCCTCGCAAATGTGTTTTATAAAGAACGAACGAAGCATTCTGTAGCTACAGTTACAAAATGCTAAGCTACAAGACTTTTGGGACACCCTATAGTGAAAGAGTAACTCATAGAGTGGGATCATATTAATTACTGTGTTCTACGGAGTGGTAATCAAACCAACTCTTTTTCCAACAGAAAATGCGTTTGATAAAAAAGCAAAGCGAGGCTCGAATGGTGGAATAGTGCCCAATGATTCTGAGAAAATAGTAATGAGTTTCACTTTTTGTGTTTTACCTAGAGCAAGTCAACAAGCGGCATTGATTGAAGAGGGCAAATTGGTCAGACTTGACTTACTATGACGATACAATACATGGATTAGTAAGGCATGTAAAAAATAAATTTAAGGTTGTCCCGAAATTTTTGTCCGCTTTTTCAACCTATCATAAAAACGCGTGGAACGAAGATAGGGAAACGCTTTAAGCACTATTCGACGCATCTTTTCCTTCTCTTTTTAACTGTTATGCCTGAGATAAACGCCGAAATTTCGAACCCATGGTTTTTACTATGTCCAAGTTTGGCAATTTTTCACAATCTTTATTTCTGACTTTCGGAAAAGCTTTGGCAACAGTTAGATAGAGCAAACAAAGGCAATATAATGCAATTTTGCGGCATCTATAGGCAACCTCGAAAATTTTTTAGAATTATTTTTCTGATGCTATCAAATTTCACTTTTGGTGATGCCAAAAGCCAGAGATCAGGAAACGGCGCACAAATAAGGTGTTATTCAATTCAGCTTTTCCTCCTCTTTCCAATAAGTGTATTTTCTCTCCAATTTGCGGGGTCCTTGGCGATAAAGTTTTCACAATTTTTGAATCTGACCCCACCCCCAGCGTGTACACGTAAAATGCGAAATCTCATATTTCGAAACGGTAAACGCTCATTTTCTTCGTAAAAATAGTGGATAATCGTAATCAGTTTTTGAAAGCTTCAAAATCCGATGATTTGTTAGTGTTCGAGGCGTTTCTGTATTTTACAACTTCGCAAAAGTGAAGACTTTTAAAAAAATTATCTTTAAGAATGCTGAAAAGCCAGCTAAATATGCCAAATAACTGCATTGCATTGCCCTTTGCTTACTCTATCGGAGGGCTATTGAAGGTCTTCCATAAGTTGAAAATGAAGATTGTGAAAAATTGTCAAACTTGGACATAGTAAAAACCATGGGTTCGAAATTTTGGCGTTTATCTCAGTGAGCAAAAGAGTAATCTGCACAAAATTATGAAAGTTAGAAAGAGGAGGAAAAGTTCCGTCGGGTACTGCTTAGAACGTTTTTTTATCTTTATTACACGTGTTTTTATAGTAGGTTGAAAAAACGAACAAAACTTTTGGGACGACCTAATACTATTGAAAAAAGACACAAATTAATGATCGTATTTGAAATACAGTGTTAGTTGAAAACTCCGTACATTTTGTAAAAAGAAAATACTATTGAAAAACACAAACCAGTGGTCGTACTTAAAATTCAATTGTAGTTAAAAGCTCCGTACACTCGAACAGAGTGAAACGCATAAATAAAGGCAAGACGAGCAGTCACAATGATGAAGTTAGGATGACCGTAGGATTATCATTACGTGCAGCTGTAGCAGAAAATTCTCTTTTTTAGGCCAAATAAGCCAAATTAAAAGTGGTGCTGATTCTTATTCTTCAAATCAAATTGAAACAAGATTTCAACTCAAAAGAACATATAACATATTGCTGAAAGTGTCTGCAGACGTTTTTGACTGCTTATATCTGACTCACATACAAAATGCAACAGGGTTCACCTTCCATTGATTTGAACTTTTTCTTTTACCTTGAAAGGGACCGCTGATCATATCCATCGCATCACCTGCGTATCTAGCAGCGTCATCCAACAAAGAAACGCAAAAAAAGGAGTTTCTTCTATAATTTTAAGCATACAAAATCAGCGTCCAAAATTGATTTCGCCTATATGCACCTTATATCAAACAATTGCGAACATTAAAAGTACTTTCTTGTTAGTATGCAGAAATAACGTTAAAGGTTATCAACAGCAAGACAAATCCTTAAACATCCAACCAAAAAACCTTTCCGCTCAAATTTCCTATTAATTTATTTGCTGACTAAAATTTTTTGAATGAGAAGAAAGTAGGTTCGTGTAATAGTCTCAGAACTAAAAGTGCTTATTCAGGCTTATCAGAATGCGAAGAAAGAAGGCCCGGAACCACGCCTTAAAAGTATACCTTATTTCAGCGAAGACCAGCTATTTTTCTTAGCTACTGCTCAAGTATGTGTTCTCTACGCTGCTAATTATATCTGTTAAACTTCTTCAAAGCAAGACTTAACCGCATTATTGCGCACATACTCCGTAAAGCCGCTACTATGGCACACATTCGCGCTACCAAGGCGCTACCATGATACCACTCTATAAATACTTTCGGCGCATCAATCTAGATGTAGTTCTACAGCTAGAAACTGTATATTTGCATACTTTTGAAAATATTATGTCTTACTAGATGGTCCCCGGTCCCGCCCGTAAATCGAGCTACTTGATCCCAAACGCATTAAAACTTACCGTTTTTCTCCATATCTGCGACAAAACTGTAATATGTCTTCCTTGCTGACTTGAGACAGTCCTTTTTGCCGAGAAATGTGGATGAACATAATTGCCCGACTTACATGACTATGAGGGAATGATCCAACAATGGTTGATAAACTCCCGTTGTAAGTGAAATCAATAAATCGATTGAAGGGCCCAACAAGTCATCGAAAAAGTAGCCCATCTTGTGCGCCGTGATATTATTCATAAGGAAAGGAGTTTCACACACAAAAGAGTCTATAAGCCACACACCTACTAAGAAACAAATTTACAGATTCGGATTTATTTATTTATATAAAATACAGTGAACACCAAAAAGTTGCGGACAAGCCGCCTTCCTTTTTTCATCGCTCTCAGATGGATAACAAACAATGAAAAAATGTTAGGATTGTTTGAGGTGATAGAGCTCTTTAAAAGCTACAAACCCGACGTTGCATTGCTTTTTGGAGAAAATGTATTCTAAAGTTTTTAAAACCCTTTTGACCAAAGGTTGAAAATAGCAATGCCACAATGTCGCGGACCATAATTCATCGAACGCGGAAAACTTTTATTACGTTATAAAAAAAGTATCCGGGCAGTTGCAAATTGCTGTAACTTCAAAACAGATTGATTCTTTTTTGAAACTACAAGCTTCATTGCAAAGATAATTTTGTCCACAACATATATTTGTCTTGCTGGCTTCTCAGCACCTCACCGGTCCACCAGCATGCGCAGAAGACAAAAAGGTCGTTGCGAAAAGTGGCCTATTAGTGCAGGATTGTCTCAAACATGATGAGAGCTGGAGAGCCCAGATGCTGTGCTTATATAGTGGTCTGCTGGGGCTGTTATGGGACCATTCATGTTTTTGAAGGACCACCTGCAAAAAAAATTTCTTAGAAAGTTTGAAAAATCGACCATTTTTTGCCCCTAAAAATGCACCATTTTTCGAGTAAGTTTTGAAGTTTTCTAGTTCTGCACAGAAAGGTCCAAATCTTGGATTACTGAAAATATCGTTGGGGTAAAGCCTTGCATACCTTTTGGACCCATCACCCAGGTGTGGTTATCCTCGCAGAAGCGACGCCAGCTGCGAAAATAGTTGCAGTCGGAGGCAAGTTGGACAGCTTGTAATTCCTAAGCGCAAATCGCAAGACTCGAGTGCAGCTACGGGTCAGAAGCTAACAGCCTTGCAAGTCAAATCACCCATGATTTGGACGAAATTTATTGAATTGCACAAAAAATGGCCTTAGGAAGAGAAATTGTGAAATTTTTGTGATTGGAAAGATTTCTCTTCTTAACGTGCAGGTCAAGCGTGTCTTGGCATCGATAAAAGTCAGGCGGCTTGTTAAAAAACTACAGGCTTCCCTCTACTGAATAGTATAAAAATCTTATTGTCAAAGTCCGACCGAGCGCGGAAAAATGCGTTTGAAGAAAAACTTTGTTTCCGTTTCCTGGCACGAAATTGAAATTTCCAAAAGTGCCCGGAAACTTTCTTTACAACCTAACAAAACTTTTTTGAGGAAAAAAAACAAATGTTTTCCAGATAGGTACAAACAATATTATAGTACCAGAGACAAATTCGAATTCAGGTGGTTACCTTTGAAAAAATCCAAGCTTGAAATTTTCTGTTTTTTTCAAAAAATACCCTCTAATTTTCTTTTTCAAGCCAAAATTCTTTACATACCTATTCAAGAATCCTAACAAAGCTGGTCAAATAGAAAAAATGATCTATCTTCTATGCATCGGACGTGTGCTGGTGAGTCTCTTTGATGAAAACGGCTCCTGACAGTACGTGCACATGACCCCACCTGCACTCACCACTGACTTGCACCGCATCGCAGGCTTGCAACTCGGCCGCCAGTCATCTGAGAGCCTACAAATAGGCTCATCCGAAAGAGCTTAACTTCCGTGACATGATGTTGTGCAAAAGAGTTGAACAGGGAAAGTCCTGGAAATTTTGCGGAGGGGTGGAAAAGCGCAGTTTCAGTTTTCTTGTAATATTAGGTTGATTCATAATTAATGCACGTTTCTCTCACCTCTTCTTCCAAGAGCTGGTATTTGATGTGTAATCAATCCCTCAAAAACTTTTTAAGCTATCTGAAAGAGCGTTTTTTCTAGTTTCTTATGTGGCCCTTCGCTTTCGTATATCCCCGTTCATTCCAAAGTTTTGAGCCTTCAAATAAAAGAGACTAAATCCCAAAATTTTTGCTTTTAAGTCTGCTTTATCCTACTTCATTTGAACATAAGTTATGCTCTCTCAAAGTAGACGCTTCACAAAAAAGTTGTTGGCAATCTTCAGGTCAGAAAATCTTCTTTGTGATAGATACAATCACGCATAAGCATCTGTTTCATAGCCACTGATTTGGTGGTTATAGTAGTTTTTGTTACCCACAGAAATGTCTTTTCACAAAAGAATTACCTTGGTTGAAAGTTGAAGTATAGAAAACGTGCATTAATTATGAATCAACCTAATAGATCCATTTCGAAGCTCTACTGTTTTGGTGTTGATAAAAGTCTTTACTCCAATCACCTTCAAAGCTGCACTTTTTCACCCCATCCGTAAAATTTCCGGAATTTCTTTTGCTCAACTTTTTTGCACCATCGTGTCGAAAAGGTTACGCTATTTCGGATTATCTTACTTGCAGGCTCTTAGAGTGACTGGCTGCCGAGCCACAAGACTGCAATGCGGTGCAAGTCAGTGGTGAGGTGCAGGTGGGGTCATGTGCACGCACTGTCAAGAACCATTTTTGGCAGCAAACTCATTAGTACAGGTCCGATGCATAGAGTATGGCGAAGGGCGCCCTTTTTATTTGAACAGCCTTGTTGGGATGTCTTGGATAGGTTTCTATATGAAAAAATTTGGCTGGGGAAAGGGAAATAGAAGATTTTTTTAAAACAGAGTAAAATTTGAGCTTGGGTTTTTTGGAAATATTAGGTCGTTCCAAAAGTAATGTCTCTTTTTTCAAACGTATGCCACATTTCGTGGAACAAAGATGTGTAAGAGATTCTGGTAGCATTTGATGCAGCATTTCATTCTCTTTCTAATGGTTATATAAATACCGCACAAAATGGAATAACCTCTGAGAAAATTTTCGGAATCTGCGACCCATGCTTTTTGAGAAAATCAAGTTTCACAATTTTTCCAAATTTTTATAACAACCCCCGGAAAAAGTCCAAGTTATATATGGATAGTGCAAACCCTACGGGAAACAGCACAACTTTTTTCTACTTTTCAGAGCTCGTCATAATTTCCGTAAAGATTTTTTGATGGAGCCACCGAATTTTAGCAGGCTCGTCTCAGACACAAATGCGTCAAACACCAAGAAATCGTCGAATTTCGAAACTTACAAAAATGAATTATGGTTTTACACTAATTTTACAAAGCAAATGAGCGTTTACCGCTTCAGATTAGCAACTTTCGAAAATTCCGGGTACAGCCGGAGGCGCCCTGAAAAACCTGAATTATGATGATTTTATTTCGGAAAACTTGATGAATCGCAAACCTAAAAACAACTGGTAAAAAGAGGAGAAAAAACTGCGTCGAATGATACCCGAGTTGCTTGCCGGTTGTTGTTCTGTGAGGTTTGAGTTGACCAAATATGAAACTTGATGGCTTTTTGAAATTGATTCCAGAAACTCTAAGAAGCAAGCTAAGGAAAAGAAAAAAATTACTCTGTGTCCTATAGGGTTTGCTCTATTCACCTGCCACTTGTACATCTTTGGAGACTAGGAACAAAAATTTTTGAAAATTGCCGAACTTGGCCGTAGCAAAAAGCATGAGTTGTAGATATTGTTAATTTTTCGAAAGCTCAATGAAAATTATGCAATGAAATTACAACCATTTGAAAGAAGATGAAATGCTGCATCGAATGCTCCTAAGATCTCTTGAAAATCTTGATTCCAAAATGTGGCGTTCATTTGAAAAAAGCGACATTACTTTCGGAACGACCTAATAATACTACTTGATTATTGTCCACGATGAGCTTTGAAATATAGTAACTTGTACTTGCTTACTTTTATCAGGTTGTCCCATAAGCTCCGTCCGTTTAAAATTTCAATCGCAATAAGTCATGAACTTCTTGGTTTTAGACAGGTCCCAAGGTACCGTTTGATAGAGCAAAGCAAGCTCTACAAGATGTGTTTCTCATTTTCGCATCAGTTCAAATCCATCTCAGTTTGAAGCCAAAAACCAAAAAGATCCAACCGCCCGAAAAATAAAGAAAAAATCGTAACTCCGTTTATAAAAATCCTAGAAAATTCCTAACTTGCTCACAGATACCCTATCCACATCAGACATTTATTTATACTGTTGCTGTATTTTTTCCTTAAATAGAAATCGAGAAAACGAAAATCTTCATGTTTCTGCCAAAGTGCTGTGCTGTTCTCACACTAGTAGTTGTATACTACAGACCAGTACAAGTGCAGACACAAATTTTCAGCGCTCTACAGGCTTTAGTTCTCGAGAAATAATCGTTTTAAGACGGGGCACCCGACTGTTCGAAGCTAAATTCAATATTTCTCGAGAACTAAAGCCTATAGAGCGCTGAAAACTCGTGTCTGTACTTGTACTGGTCTGTAGTATACAACTACTTATGTGAGAACAGCACAGCACACTTTGGCAAAAACATGAAAATTTTCCTTTTCTCGATTTATATTTGAGGAAAAAATACAACAACACTATACATAAATGTCTGATGTGGATAGGGTATCTGTGAGCAAATTAAGAATTTTGTAGGATTTTTTTAAAC